CCTACCTTCTTAATGAGAACTTTAAATCTAGGAAGACTGTGCTTTATATTCATGTTCCTCTTCTGTTCTATGAGAACTTCAGAACCTAGGAAGTTTCTGCGCTACATTCCATTATCTTAACCTCTGTACAACCTTGTCACATGAACGTGGGTTAGAAGATAATGAAAGGCAATATCATATAGGATGGGGCATATGGGGACAATAAAACTTCAAATATCACCACTCTTTAAGGCAATGGAAATGTCAAACCCTGATAAATCTCCTCATCAGTGGTTCTTAATTTTGGATGCACTTTGAAATCATTGTAAGAGTTTAATAAATCTGATGTCTGATAACATCTCTCTCTTTCCCTTACCCCACTGTTAGCAATTCAGATTTGATTAGTTTGGGGAATGTTTTGGGTGTTGGTATTTGTGCAAGCTCCCTGGTGATTCTAATGATCAGCCAAGATTGAGAACTTCTGTTCTAGCTTGCATCTCTGTAGACTTCACTCTACCTCCTTACTTTCATTCTAAGAACTTTACATCCAATCTTGCTTGAAGCTCCAACCTTTTGTTCCCCCAACTGGTAGCAGTAAACCTTCAAATGCCAATCACTATGCGGAGCTGAGCCATCAACATCCTTACTTTGCCTGAACCTGTTCCGTACACACCAGCACTGGGACACACTCCACCCTTTGCAAAGTCAAAAAGGCTCATTGACATTTTAGTTTACTCTCCCAAAAGAACAAGTTTCTTTCCAAATAGAATTATTTAGCACTTTAGTGCACTGACTTAAATAGAATTTTTTCCTTCTAAAGAGAAACTACCCTCAGAATATATGTTATTTGAGCCATTTTAAGAATAATTATTAGTCTGGGATAAGTAGATAGATAGAATATATAATATATAATATAAAACACATAAATATAAAATATAAGCATAAAATTACATATATGAGTATGTGTGTGTATCAATAGATTCAAGATTGAGGGACTCATTTTTGAGACTGCTATTAAATCCATTTTAAAATAACCTGCTAAATCCTTTATTACACAAACACTTACCCAAATCTCACACTGTAATTACTGCTGACTGTTTTAGTCCACACCATAAAAATAGCATACCTTGCACCTTTAGGATTCATTAAACCCAGTTAAAGAATTTCATTTGAGCATGTCTGTCATCTGTTTATAAAAAGCTTCCTATGTGTAAAAGAGAATACCACACTCATGAATATTACCCCAGTTCTCGGACACATCTTAATGTAGCCTAAATTGTTCATTCTTATTTTAAAAGTCTTTTTCTATTTCTCTTTGGAAGTTATGGAATAACAGATGGAGAAATGAAGAGATGGGATTCCAAGTGGAGAGATGGATAATCCAAACAGTCACATGTAGGAGGAAAAACATAATTTGGGGGACATTTTCAAGTACAAATAATAAATTAAAAAGAAATCTTGGTTATTTTTTGTTTGACACATTCCTCCTTTTTGAGTGCAAAAGAAAACATGTGTTAAAGAAGCAGTTCTACCATAATGTTAGCCTGTACCTACATCTGACTCCGTTATTGAGTTGCCCAGTTCCTTGACCAGCAACATTGATGGTGATGTGACTGCCCTGAGGTAGAGGTGGCTACCTGTCCACCAAGCGCCACGCACTTCCTGCGATATTGAACGTAGATCCCTAGGCAAAGACTACATTTCCCATGCTCCCTTGCTCTGAGGTGGAGTCATGTGATGGATTCCCGCCAATGGGGTGATGTGATGAATTCCGTCAATGGTGTGTGTCCTTTCTTGGCTCAGGAGTAAAGAAGCAAGGACGCTTTTCTACCTCTCTGTTCTCATTCCCCACTCAATAAAGGGATTATAAGGCACTAGGGGATGGGGAAGGCAAGGTGGGAAGAACTTGAGTTCTTGAATGAATTCAGAGCACTTTCAATGGGTGTCCACAAAGTCTCTCTATTATCGTACTATACCTTACCTTCTTACCCTTACTGCTGCCATACCTCTTGAGAAACACTCTTGCTCTTGACATCAGAGAGCAATACTTATCAAGGTATGCCTTTGTTAGACTGAGGTTTATTTTACCCATAGTATATTTCCACAGAGCCACAAAATGTTGTCATGTTTGAATGAAATAATATTTGTGAAAGCCTCCCCTAGAAATGATATGTAAATACCATCTATTATTGTTATGATGATGATTATTATTATTTCTTTGATGCAATGGTATTAATGGCATAACTCCAATTTACACAATGAACTGTAATTTTTTAAAAGCATTCCCTTATACTGCCATTTAAAGGGTATAACAATACTGGAGGTGGAACATTATTTCTTTATTCCAGATTAGAGGACTAAGGTTCATGGGATTATGTACCAATTTAAGTTCTCCCCACAAGTAAGTGATAGAGAAATGTTGTCTGCAGCCCAGGCAAGTGTCCCTGATACAATTTAGTTGAATTATTAATCACAGCATACATTACAATTTTCTACAAGTCCCCATTCACAATCTTAAGACTCTTAGCCCTCTTTATCATCTAAGAGATTTCTAAACAAGTATATTTTATGTTTTAAAAAAACCATAAAGAGGTTGGGGAATAGGGAAGCATTGTTAGTGGAATCTAGCTTCAACTTTCTGTTGTGAGAAAGAAATATGGACATGTGGCTTTTGGAAGAAAAAAAGCAAAGCTATTTTTCATTAATGTCCAGCAACATGAATTTTAAGACAATAAGAAAAAAACAAGTAAACAAAAAATCTAAGAGTTTCCATGTATAACAGGAGGCTCACACAGTCTTTTTTCATTATTTTATGTTATATAAGCTTTTGTGAAATATGTCAACATAATGCAATCACACATTTTCTGGGCTTGGCTGAGGGGTTGAAGTTTACAGTTTTTCCTCAAGATTTGGCTTTGAATCATTATAAAAATAGCTTATGTGTATAAACATTTTCTATCTTACTTTCTAGATGATGGTAGGAGATTGAGGTTCATTTTAAGTAATTACTTAAAGGAAGAGATAAAAAATGATTTTCAGATGACTGGATTAAAACCCACTGCAGTTTTATTTTTTTAGTGTTGATTCTGGAAAAGTGAGACTTTTATTAAGCAAGGATTTAAACTAATAGGAAAAAAAAAAACCACTGATATTTTGCTACAGAAAATACTGAATTTAATACATTCTTAAACAGAGAAAGATAATCTGTCTTGATGTCCTCCTTGCTGAAACAAGAGCAGGCACAAAAACCCACCCTGCAGCCAGGTGGCTGGAGGACAAGGGGAAGTAGGAGGAGGTGGAAGAGGAGGAAAGGAAGAGGAAGAGTAGGAGGAGAAGGAGAAGGAGAAAGAAGGAGGAGGAGGAGAGAAGGAGGAAAAGGAAGAAGAAGAGAAGGAGGAGGAGGAGAAAGAGGAGGAGAAAGGGAGGGAAAAGGAAAGGGAAGAGGAGAGGAGAGGGAGGAGACAGGAAGAGTATATCCCTTTGTGACTATCAAATTAGTTGTTAAAATGATAGCAATTCTTGGGAAGCGTGGAGGTAAAATGTGCACTCTCATAGGCTGGCATAGTGACAATATAAATTGAAAAAAAAACCTCTTTTAAGGGCATTTAAGGAGGAGAATCGGTCCCTATTTGGAGAGGAAAAACAAGTTTCCAGCATTTTCACACACATAGCTGGAACTAACCTCTGACTTTGTGAAAAGCCTTTATTTCATAGTGTAACTGTTATAAATAACAAGACATAGAAATATATTAGAATATGATATTCTGTATAATGTAATATATATTAGAATAGAAGATAATGAAAAAATAAAAATTATTTGCAATCTTATTCCTCAAAGATAAATATTCTGAACAAGTCCAGATTTTGGTTAGTGTGCATGCACACTATGTAATTGCAGTTTGGATTATAAATCAGATCATGTGGTTTAAAGTTCACCTCCGCCTCCCAAAACCCCAATATGTGATTTGCATAGCTCAACATTAGTCAGCCCCATCCTACGGATGTATAGATATGTCATTAAGTATTTAATCCTATCTTGGGGGACACTTAGACTGTTTCACAACTTTGCCCACCTCTGCAAACAATCCCCATAGTCTCTGAAATTCTGAGATATGGAATGGCCACAGTGAAGTGTATGAGCATATTTAAGACTCTTGCAAAACATTTCCAAAATGCCCTTCAAAGAGATTTTTCCAATTTGTATTGTCTCTGATACAATAGCTCTTTCTAGCTATTGGAAACTATAGAATATATTTGTATTACTATAGTCATCCTACAGGGATGTAGAACACTAGAACTTATTCTTCCTTTCTAGCTGTAATTTTGTATCCTCTATATACTGAGCTGTTCAGCCTTAGTTTGCTGAGCAGTAAGAATTAATCTACATAGCAAGCCTTAAATACAGCAAATACATAAGAAGGCATTAATATTGTTCTAAATATAACAAATACTTTGTTCACAGTTATCATTTTTCTATTTTGTTTATGGAACTGCATTTTTGGAAGGTACAGTAGTGTTAAATTGTTTGTAGTTGTATTTTTCAGTTTTTTTCCTTTGTTATTCACTCTTCTTTGTGTTTAGAAAGTCACTCTTCTTTCTGACATGAGATATTGCTCACATACTTTTATAATATTTTTCATCTTTAAATATTAGAATTTGGTCAGGTGCAATGGCTCACACCTGTACTCCTAGCAGTTTGGGAGGCTAAGGTGGGAGGATTGCTTAAGGCCAAGAGTTCAGACCAGCCTGGACAATGCAGTGAAACCATCTCTACAAAAACTTTTTTTAGAAATTAGATGGGTGTGGTGGCGCATGCCTGTAGTCCCTGCTACTTGGGAAACAGAGGAAGAGGATTGCTTGAGTCCGGAAGCTGGAGGCTGCATTGAGTTATGATTGTGCCACTGCACTCTAGCATGGGTGGTAAAGCAAGACCTTGCTTCTAAAATATATATATATATATATATATATATATATAATGTATTATATATTATGTATATAAACTGAAAGCATTTGGAACTCACTGGAGTATATGGTGTGAAATCAAGATCTAACTTTGTTTTACCTGAATATTAAACCAATTATTCTAACATCATGTATTAATTTGTTCTCATGCTGCTATGAAGAAATACCCAAGACTGGATAATTTATAAAGAAAAGAGGTTTAATTGACTCACAGTTCTGCATGGCTGGGAAGGTCTCAGGAAACTTACAATCATGGTGGAAGGCACATCTTCACAGGGCGGGAGGAGAGACAATGAGAGCTGAGCAAAGGGGGAAAAACTCCTTATAAGACTATCACCCCCAATGATTCAGTTACCTGCCACTGGGTCCTTCCCATGATATGTGGGGATTATGGGAACTGCAATTCAAGATGAGATTTAGGTGGGGACACAGCCAAACCATATCACACCATGTAGTAAGTAATTTATTATTTCCTCAGTGACCATAAATGTCACTCACATTAAATACCCATGTGAGTTTCTGTTTTCTGCTTTATTGTAGGGTGTCTTACAACATATTTTAGTGTGAAAACCCATGCTTTCTTATGTTTTCCATATTGTTATATGTGTTCACACTAATTTTTGTCTATAAATAAATTTCATTTACTAAATATTTATCACCAAAAATCATTGAGATTTTAATTGGATTTCTTCTAAAAGATGAATCAAATTTTTCGTATGTATTCTTTATAACATTGTGTTTTCCCATGCAAGGACATATATGTTTCCAGGTTTTCAGCATCTTTGTAGAAGCCTTGAACGCTTTTGCTAAACTTTCTTGGGAAGGTCTTGTTTATTTGCATCTTTTTAGGCTGAACTACTTAATTGGTCATATTGCCTGTGAAAAAATATAGCTTTCCCTCTCTTCCCATAGTTATATCTCTGGCTTCTTTTTCTTGTTTTATTCTACTTGCCACTTTCCAAAGTTGTGGTTGGCAATGTTTCTGATTCTTAGAGAAGAAAAATGTCCCTAGGACAGTCTTTTGTAGGTAATGCTCAGAACTCTGGTTCTGATTTTAGCAGATTGTCTAAAAAATAAAACAACAAGGACTTCTGTGTTGAAGAAAATGTGCAACCTGTAGCCAAAAGAAAATGTTCATCGCCTTTAAGAAGAATCTTCCCAAGTCTAGATTACTAAGTGTACTCTGTTTTTGAGAAAGGTTGTTGAAATTGAGCAAGGGCATCCTCACACCTTTATGCATGAGCAGTGCTCTGGAATGGGCTCATTCTGACTTTTAGGAGCTAACCATGAAACATCCAGGAATTGTGTGAGCCATCTGTCCAACCATTTGTAGCTCGAAATGAACATAGTGGGAGAATTTACACCATGGGAATTGGCAAACACCATTAATAAGTGTGTGTGTATTTTGAGAGCTGGTTTGCTTAGTACATCACCTATTATATAGATAATCTCATCCATGCCTTTATTTGATAAGGGGCATATTCTATATGCCAAACAAGGTAAAAAGAGTTTAATAAAAATTTCAGTAATTAAGGCAAAGTTTCAATGAATAATTATGCCAATAACCAATTGATAATGCAGTTATGATCAGTACTATAAAAGTCAGATGCTGTCAGAGTTTATAAAACAGATGTGTGGTGAAATCTGATGCAAGATTTCCCCTAGGAAATGACGTGTCGACTTTGACCATGCCACTTTGCAGGACTCTTGGTCTATCTCATAAATACATAAACAGTTGTTTCCTGACTGGATTTACCTGCATCACATTCAAGGAAAGCATATTTTATTTTAATAGCTTACCACAATCAATAGAACTCACTTCTGTGGGTACGTCCAGGCCTCAGGATTGACTGGCAGGAGGGAGATCTAAGATGGAAAGAACAAGATAGAGCACTGAGAGTAGAATATGCAGGAGAGTCTCTGCCATCTCTTCTGAAGGGTTTGCCATTTCAAGACTTCCCAGGTTTGCTTTCCCACAAATAAAGTGACCACCAAGTCTGGCAGTTTGGTGTTCAGATACATAATTCTCTCTGTGTGGCAGACTGCTCCCCAGAAAATAAAAAGAATGAATTCCATTGTGTATGTGGACCACATTTGCTTTATCCAATCTGTCATTGATAGGCATTTAGGTTGATTCCATGACTTTGCTATTGTAAATAGTGCTACAATGAACATTCACGTGCATGTGTCTTTATGGAAGAATGATTTATATTCCTCTGGGTATATACCCAGTAATGGGATTCTGGGTCAAAGGGAATTTCTGCTTACTATGCAGCCATAAAAAAGAATGAGATCATGTCTTTTGCAGGAACATGGATGGAACTGGAGGCTATTATCCTTAGCAAACTAACACAGGAACAGAAAACCAAATACTGCATGTTCTCACTTATAAGTGGGAGGTAAATGATAAGAAATTATGAACACAAAGAAGGAAACAACAGACACTGGGGTCTACTTGAGGGGGGAGGTTGGGAGGAAGGAGATGAGAGAGGGAGGGAGGGAGGGAGGGAGGGAGGGGGGGAGGGAGAGGAGCAGAAAAGATAACTCTTGGGTACTGGGTTTAATATGTGAGTAATGAAATAATCTGCACAACATGCCCCTGTGACACAAGTTTACCATTGCAACAAACCTTCACAAGTACCCTCAAACCTAAAATAAAAGTAAAAAAAAAAAAACTAATGAATTTCACATGGTTTGAAAAGAAATGAAATAAAAATATAACTCAGAGTACTTCATATTCTCTAACTTCCCACCCAAATTAATTCTACATACATATTTAAGTAGGTTCTTGGAATTTTCCCCCCTCCATGACTGCCTTTTTTGCTTTCAGTTTGTCAATAACCCAAGGTACCAACAGGGTTTACTTTACCAAGCATTATTCATGTTCCCTTTATGCAATAGAAGCACCATTTTTCTATTGTATTTGCTGTTAAGATAGCTGATGAAATATCAGAACAACATGTTTATGAATGAGTTGTTTTTAATTGAACTCAAACTTTAGTTCTTAGCGACAGAATTCCAAGTATAGTTGGCCTTGCATGACAGTTTGAACAAAAAGGGATGTGATAATTCAATGTTGTTCCATATATTTTAGTTTCAGTCATTTACACTTTTCCATATTGGGTGAATACCTACCATTGAACATGATTTACCATCTGGTGGAAGAAATGAGACAGACGCCCCAGTGAGTGTTGACAGGCTAGATGACCTCCTATACGCTCATTAGCAGAGGTAGATGAGGGAACTATAAAGGGAATAAATTTGGGTTAGAAACGGGGTCTTAGAAGAAAAGTCACTCAAGGATGACTTTGATTTGTACAAGCCCCTTTAGAAGGGAATTGTCAGCTTGAGCCAGACCCAGGGATGTGGTTCTTTAGGGTGATTTTGGGAAAGAATGAGTGGTTCAGTTTGGCTTAAAGATGGGTTGTATGGGGTTTGGGGTAGAAGAAAATGCTGGACATGATGTGCTGCATTTTATTTACTTTTTTATTTTACTTATTTATTTTTAGAGACAGGCTCTCGCTCTCACTCAGACTGGAGTACAGTGGTGTGATCATAGCTCACTGCATCCTTGACCTCCTTGGTTCTAATGATCCTCCAATCTCAGCCTCTCAAGTAGTTGGGAATACAGGTGCACACTACCATGCTTGGCTAACTTTTTAAATTTTTTGTAGAGACAGGATTTTACTATGTTGCCCAGACTGGTCTCAAACTCCTAACCTCAAGAGATAATCCCAACTTCGTTTCCCAAAGTGCTGGCATTATGGCTGTCAGCCACTATTCCCAGCCCCTGTACTGCATTTTAAAGCATGTTCCATATTGGAATTAATTGGATAGTCAATATGGAACAGTTGTGGGGTTTTTGTTTGGTTTAGCAAGATACTTTGGAATATGTAATCAGTAAGGAATTTAAACAACATTAAATAACATTAACTAAGCATGGCGACTTTGATTGATTTGCATTAGACAAAATTAATTGGCTTCCTCATAAAAATTAGTTAGGCGGTGCTTGTCAGATCAGTGAGAAATTTCACGAAAATTAATAGGGGATTGAGTTGGATTGATTTCCATTATGCAAAATTAATTGATCACCTGGTCAAAATTAGTTAGGAGGTGATTGTCATGATTTAGACAAGGATTAATAAAAGTTTGATATAAAGTGGTTCTAGAGAAAATAGAAATTGGGAAAAATAGTTGCAAAATATAAGAGAGCTTCTTAGAATTTGGTGATTGTCTGCTTGTAAAAGAGGAAATATAAGTTTCAAAAAATATTTGAACCTGAGTGACTATGAGTAACAGGTCTCATTCAACCAGGGTGGGGATGTTGAAAGGGGGACTGTTTTTCTAGATAATGAATTGAGGGTATCATGCAAACAATTAAAAATAACAAAGACAGATATCCATTCAATATCACCAGATTCAGAAACAATCACATTAAAATGATTTTTCTTTTCCATTATTTTAAAGTTCAGTTTCCTTGACTGTTCAATATTTATTAGTATGTTCGAAGCCAAAGACACAAAGAGAAGAAAGCTTAGAGTATGAGGACAAAAATGAAAGTGTAGCCAGGTACAAAAAGGATTTGGAGACACAGAGCAAAGTGTTGAAGGAAGTACACTGGGAATTTTTATTTGGGTTTTGAGATCCAGTTATTATAACCCCAAGTGTGCGCTGGTTGCAGTTGCTGAAAGGTTTATTAGCTTCCTGTAAAACCTTCCTTTATTAGCCCAAACTGAGGCAATGCAGCTTCAAACAAGAAAATCTGCCTTTGTCAAAAAGTGCACTCAAATCAGCTTAGAGAACCACAGGCCAGAGAACAGTCCCAGCTGGCCTGCAAAACTGCACCCTTTACTGCTGAGACCCCACTGTGATTCATGGCCCATGGGGTCATCCAGCAGGAATTGGGGGCACCGCAGCCCACTGGAAGGAAAGCCCAGAAATAATGGCTCCCTGCAGGTATTCACAACAAAGACTCATAGAGGTATGGAGACAACCTCAGGGTGCAGCTTTTACTGAGTCCATGGACATGACTCAGACTCTGCTTCTTCCGCTGTGAGCCACAAAATTAGCACGAGAAAAATTAAGAAGGGTTAAAAAAAATCACGTTTGCTTTTCAAGAGAGGGGAGACTCAATGTGTTCAGTTTTCATCATCACGAATGGTATATGTTCAATGAGATGAAGGAAATTCTCATTAGTTGAAAGGTTTAATTGATCTTGGTGCAGCCCTTATGCCCACAAAACAACTGCCCACTGCCAGTTAATTTGCCAGGATAAATAAAGCAAGCTGGACCCGTTCGGGCTTGGTGCATGGCTTCAGTGTTAAGGGTGGAGCCCACAAAAGCTTGCACTTCTCCCAAATCTCTTTAAAGCTCTTTCCACATGCCTATAGAATGAATCACGTTGGAGCTGAAATCTCTAGTAAGTGCACTAGTAAAGTAAGAGGTCGAGATGAATTATATACTTGTATGCAGTTGCAGACCATCAGATTTTTTATTCTATTTTTCGGTAACTGTAACCATGGGAGCACAAAGGAAGGTCAGGCAGAGCAAGAAGTACTGCCGTAAGATTTGAAAAACCCTTCATTATAATTTTCTCATTTTATTAGAAGATGTGTAATGACAGAAGCCACGTAGACCAAGGATACTAAAAGATTTAACAAAAGTCATGCAACAACACATGACCAGATGAAGCCTGGATAAGAAAACATTCAGACAGACAGAAGGGAATCCTATGATGGAAGTGATAAGAGAGCATTATTAAGGCAAAAAATAATCAAAATAATATATATAAACACTTACTGATATTGTTGCAGTGTACAGTGTTGATGTCAAAGAAATGTTCGACAACCACATTAAAAAATGGGCAAACAGCCAGGCACAGTGGCTCACACCTGTAATCCCAGCACTTTGAGAGACTGAGGCAGGCAGATCACTTGAGGCCAGCAGTTTGAGACCAGCCTGGCTAACATGGCGAGACCTGTCTCTATTAAAAATACAAAAATTAGCCAAGTGTGGTGACACATGCCTGTAGTCCCAGCTACATGGGAGGCTAAGGCAGGAGAATTGCTTGAATCCAGGGGGTAGAGGTTGCAGTGAGCTAAGATCATGCCTCTGCACTCCAGAATGGGTAACAGAGCAAGATACTATTTCCAAAAAAAAGAGAAAAAAAAGAAAAAAAAGAAAGAATGGGCAAAGGATATGGACAGACACATCTAAAACAAAGACATACACATAGCCAACAAACATGAAAAAATACTTCATATTACTAATGATCAGAGAAATGCAAATTAAAATCACAATGGAATTCCATCTCACACCAGAATGGCTATGATTAAAAAGTCAAAAACAACAGATGCTCCCAAGATTGCAGAGAAAAGGGAACACTTATACATGGTTAGTGGAAATGTAAATTAGCTCAGCTACTGTGGAAAGCAGTTTGGAGATTTCTCAAAAAATGAAAACAGAACTACCATTCGACCCATCAATCCCCATTACTCAGTATATGCTCAAAGGAATAAACGTTGTTCTACCATAAAGGCACATGCACGTGTACGTTCGTTGCAGCACTATTCACAATAGCAAAGATAAGGAATCAACTTAGATGCCTATTAAGAGCAGACTGAAGAAAGAAAATGTGGGTGCATATACAACATGGAACACTATCAAGCCATAAAAAGAATGCGATTGTGTTCTTTGCGGCTACATGGATGGAGCTGGAAGCCATTATTCTAAGCGAATTAACACAGGAATGGAACAGGAAACAAAATACCACATGTTCTCACTTATAAGTGAGAGCTAAGCATTGAGTACACATGGACACAAAGGTGGGAACAATATACACCAACTCCTACTTGAGGGTGGAGGGTGGGGATCAAAAAACTACCTATGGGATACTATACTTATTACCTGGGTGATGAAATAATCTGTACACCAAATCCCTGTGACGTGCAATTTATCTATTTAACAAACCTGTACATGAACTCTCTGAACATAAAATAGAAGTTGGAGAGAAAAAGTAAGTAACAATCAATCAATCAATCAATCAATGTATGAGACTTACCTGAATGCTATAATATTTTATAACAAATGAAATATATATTCTTTGAGCAATGCAGAAATAAAGTTTTTTGTTTAATTGTACATCAAACAATTTATAAGGTGATTTCTGCAAAAGATAAGGCTACAAAATATATTGCTTTTGCAGAGAGATCATTGAAAAACTACTAAGATAATTGGCAAAAAGAGCAAGCGTTCTTGAATTAAGAAAATGGAAAGATAACTCCAGTATGCTAAGTGAATGATATTGACTAGTGCTTCCTCTAGGTTCCCAGGAATGCCTGATGAAGCAGATAGTATTTGTCCGTTTTCCGTGTGCGAACTGGGACTCACAGAAAGCAGATGATGTGAATAGCTGTCAAAAGTTGGTCCCTTGGAGTCAGATGTGGGTACAGCTCAGCTGTGCCACTTTCCTTGGTGGTGATATTGGTTCATTCTTGTGCCTATTGTGCAGCCATGGGCTGCAAATCTAGAATTAGAGCTGAGGTCTTGGCAGCTGCAGATATTCTGCTCTTTTTATTACTCCTTGATCCTCCTGCAGAGAGTCTGACACAGAAACAGGAGAATTAGTATATGTACTTCAGCATTTAAACAGGATCCGACATCAACTTGTAGCTGCTTTCCCAATAGTTCATGCAAACAGAAGACTTCTAAACATGTCATGTCTCTGTTGGGTCAAATAAAGTGGCTCCATTCTGGAATTTTCCTTAACCATATTTTAGTGTGTATTTTCTGATATTTTCCTTAACATTACTTAGAATATTAATGACTCTTGACTGAGTATCTTGAGCTAGGCACTGGGCTGGGCATTTTGCACTGAAGCCTACAGTCTTTCAGAAAACCCCAGAGGTGTGTATGCACTACATGGCCCCAAGCCCAAGTTGAGGGAGAGAAGGGAACTAGTTTTAGGTGGCACTTCTAGGAAGAGGTGAAGCTGAGTTTTGCACTCTTGCCTGTAAACAACAAATCTCAACAATGTTTTAGGTTTATTCCATAGTGAATGATAATTATTATCACCTTTAGGATTTCTGGTGTGGTTCCTGCATGTCAGTCATAATGAAAAGCAACAACATGGATGACCTTCCAGACAATATACTCTGAATGCACAATTTTAACTGGCTCAATATATACATATATATATATATATATTGAGCAATGCAGAAATAAAGTTTTTGTTTAATTGTGCATTGAATAATTTATGAGGTGATTTCTGCAAAATATAGGGCCAGAAAATGTATTGCTTTTGCTGAGAGGGCATTGAAAATCTGCTAGAATAATTAGCAGGAAAAGCGAGGTCCTTGAATTGAGAAGATGGAAAGATAGGGAACATTTCTTCATGGCTGAAAGTGTCATTTTGCCTGGCTGGAAAAGATGAGAACCATAATTAAGGGGTATGTCAACCAAGAGATAACATTTTAGTCCGTTCTGTGCTGATATAAAAGAATACCACAGACTGGATAATTGAAAATGAGCAGAAATTTATTTCAGTCATGGTTCTGGAGGCTGGGAAGTCTAAAATCAAGGGGTTGCATCTGGTGAGGGCCTTCTTGCTGTATCCTCCCATGGAGAAGGCATCACATGGTGAGAGAGAACAAGAGATCAAACTCACAACCTCAAAGGCTTTTATAATCCATTCATGAGAGTGGCGTTCTCATCACCTAAACACCTCCCAAAAGTCCCCACCTCCCAACACTGTTGCATTGAGAATTAAGTTTACAACATATGCTTTTTAGGAGACACATTCAAACCATAGCAGATACTCATAACAAACTTTTTAAACGTATATTCGTGTATTCCATTAGGCAAATATAGGTTATATATATATTTATATTATATATGATATTCATATTTAATATGTAAATATATTATGTAAAATATATAAATATACATTATATATGATATTTATTTTATATAAATGTATATATTATATATAAATATATATTTATATAAAAATTTATATACATATATTTTATATATTTATATATGAATATATAGAAAATATTTCATTCCAATATATATTCCATTCTAATATTATATATATAACTTCAATATATTTCTAGATATGTTTTATATGTTTTATGTGTTTCAAGATAGATACAGATATTGGTACAACAAAGATACATAACTTTTCATGGCTCAGGAGTTCATTTCTTTTTAGCACTGAATAATATTCCATTGTTGATAAATTGATGTTGAGGAAGGCTATACATTTATAGGGACAGGGGTTCTGGGGAACTCTTTGTACCTTGTGTTCAGTTTTGCTATGAGCTTAAAACTGCTCTAGAAAATAAAGTCTATTAAAAAATATGTACCAATCAAGCTAAACTATGAAAAACTAAATTTTGTTAAATCTAAAATATTCCCTTTCTTAAAAAAAAAAGTATAATGTCATCTTCTTTGCTGAGACAAAAGGGAAACATTAATTATTGTCTAAGAAGTATGGGTATGAAGACTCTTCTCTTTAGGTCTCTAAAACTTCTTTGTCTGTTCCTTCTGTATAAGCAGAACTTTGGGTGCCTGGCTTCCTCCATCAATGGGCCATGTGGGTGGACAAAAGAAAGAGCAAGGTTCTTGAATTGAGTATTAGTTCTTTCTCCTGCTATTGGAGCCACGGTGGAGTGAAAAATGCTTTGTACAGTGGAAAGGTGCAATGTTGAGTCAAACTGTTTTGTTTATTCAGTTGACATCCTTTGAGGAAGCACCATGGCAAGGCTTGTGCTTCTGCAGATCCTGGACTAAAATTAGAATAAATATGCAGTTCTTGCTGGTGCAAGGCCAGCATTAGATGCCTCCCATGGGTAAAATTCCCAGAGAAAAATAGGAATCTGAGTATTCAATACATCCATCTTAAAAGCTAAAGCAAAACCCAATTTTCATCAGTTTTAAATTTCATTCCTTAAAAGAATTAAAAATACAATTATACTTTTTAAAAACACATAGATTCCCTCTCATTCTATTTGTAAGCCTTGTTATATCCATGTGATTTATGTATGATTCCACAGAAGTAGACCCTGAGAGGAAGAGCTCCCAAGAAACCTGTAGGAATGTTGGTGAAACCAGCCGGGGTCGGGTAGGGGAGAAACATAAATCAAGCAAGGTGGGATCTCAGGCCAAGTTGTAGGGAAGAAAAGTTTCATTTTGCATACTTCAAATCAGTGCCTGCACACTAATTTTTATACATTTTAAACACAGGTTACCATCATTTTAGCTCAGCGTTCTGTGTGCAATTGATAGCAATTTTCTCATAATTAACTAATGTGTTCTCTTCATGAGCTCACTCCCAAATTGTTGGCCATATCTGGTCTATACCCTGGAATGCATCATTTCTGCACATCTCTCTGAAAGATAAAATTTCAGTTTGTTTCCAATTTGTTAATATATTACTCCCTTCCTCCCTCCTTAAATTTTTGTGCTAAATTTTCTAAAGCTTGGTCCCTAAATTATGTCCTGGTGATAGAAGAACCAAGAACAGGTAATATATCATGTTCCTTAGCCCACATGTGGTTATCTGGACCTGTTATATGGTCTTATCTTGCTGACCACCTAGTTTCATTCTTGAAAGATAACTTCCCTTGAATCTACTTTTCCAAACCTTTACTCATTCTATGATCTTTGTGAGAAGGATTTCTGCACTTTTCATAGTAGGGCAGAGCTACATCTTGAACTATCAACACACATGTGAAATCATCCCTACAAACTTTATAAAATTTATCAGGGAAAAAAGAAGGGGGAGAAATGAAAATAAACCAAGCTCACAGCACACTCAACACTCATCCTGAGGTCAGCTTACTCCCTGACCTGCTTCGTCATAGTTGTTTGGTGCCTCTTGTCCTAGAATCACATAGACCTTTGATTAGAGTTCCCTTAACTACTTTGTAGATAACAACTTCAACATTATGAAACAAGTTTTCCCTCTGAGATATTCTTTCAGGCCCTGCATACTGATGAAACTACTGATGCCAGCTGGTCTGAAGGACACCACAAGAAGCTAACACACCAAAGAATGCAGTTTCCATATCCTGATGACTTCATCCTCCTTACCCAAAGCAGTCAATGACCCGAATTTTCCAGCTCCTTATCCTCTACAATCCCTTTAAAAACTACAGCTCAGGATTCCACAGGGAGACAGATTTGAGGGTCTTCTCCCATTTTTCTCACTCAGTGTCCTGCAAAAATTAAGCTCTTTCTCTGCTGCAAACCCTGCTGTCTCAGTGTATTAGTTTGTTACTGCACAGTGGGCATATAGACTCTGTGGTCCTATAACACATAGTCCAAGACAGCTGTTGTTGGGTAAGTCTTTCAGGTCCTACTTGTCTGCATACAAAGTTTCAAAAGGGAGAAGACTATAAGATGTTACTTCACTGGCTACAAATAAAATGTCTTAGAAAAACTCCCATGTTACTTTCTTCAGTCTTCCCAGTGGTTCTCAAAGTGTGGTACCTGGACCAGCCTCATCACCTGGGAATTTGTTAGAAATGCAAATTATAGAATCCTTCCCTAGACCCGCCAAATGAGAAGGAGTGGGACCCAGCATTCTGTGTTTTGACAAGCCCTCCATAAGCTTCTAATGCTCCCTCGACATTGAGAACCACTGGTTAGGACTGCTATCTCTCTCATCAAATCTCATTCAGATCATGATCTAATTAGCAAACAAGACTGTGAGTCATTCCGGGACTGACCTGCCTTTTTTTCTTTATATATACCAAAGCTTTCTGTGTTACAGCTGACTAAATGGGTGGAATTCAGGAAGGAGCAGCCAGTTTATGAGGGCACTGTGAAGATTTAACATATTATGGTGGGGTTGCAGATTAAATCCACACGGGGACTTAAAAAAATTGAAACATTACAATATAAGACACAGAGATCAAACATTTCCAAGCTTTAAGAAAATCTAAGACTGAACGCAGTGGCTCATGCCTATAAATTCTAGTACTTTGGGAGGCTAAGGTGGAAGGATTGCTTGGGGCCAGGAGTTTGAGGTTAGCCTGGGCAACACAGTGCAACTTTGTGTCTACAAAAAAACTAAAAAATTTAGCTGGGTTTGATGGCATGTGCCTCTAGTCCCAGCTACTTGGGAGGCTGAGGCAGGAGGACGACTTGGGCCCAGGAGTTTGAGGCTATAGTGAGCCATGATTGCACCACTGCTCTCCAGCCAGATGAACAGAGCAAGATCCTGTCTCTAAAATAATAATAATAATAATAAAATTTTAAAAAGAACAAAAGAGAAGATCTAAGAAAATTGAAAGAATGGTATCAGAATATAACTTGGGCAAGTGATAACTATATAAAAAAGAGGTAGTGGTCCACAGACTACTTTCTAAACCTCCCCATTCAGCAAGCCGCAAATAACAACATGCACCTGTAAATCAGAGTCAAGTGAGTTTCATCAATGACTAAAGCAAGGCTCCATTAACCTATTTACAACAAAGATAGCAGCCCACTTTGAGTCTTGTGGGTCTCACAGTGGGCTGCCATCTTGGTTGTAAATAGGTTAATGCCTCCAAGGATCATTTTCTCAGAGTTAGACTCTCTTCCATGGTGAATGT